TAATCCCCCATGTTCACTGAGCCTGAGTCTCAGATACTAACCTGTTTCTCCCCTCACATGTTGTTGACCCTGAGATTCCCAAGACAGAGGCAGCCCTCCCCTCCTGTTCATGGTTCAAAGCTTGACCTTTCAGGATTTGCCTGGGTTCAGTGTCATGGCCATCCTGGGTGTCCAGGAGTGAGGGTCTCTGTACTTGGACCTGAGGGACTGAGTGGTCTGGCCCTTGGCTATTGTGACTTGCGCTGGCAGTCTGGGTCAGGGGGAACAGATGTTACTCACAGGAAATATTCAGGGTGACTGGGTCACTGCGGCCAGTGCTCACTGGGTTCTGNGGGGAGAAAAACTAAATAAGTGGTATCCAAAATGGAAAAGGTGATATCATCCCTGTCTGCACATTACATGAACTTATATGTAGAAAACCTACAGGTCTGATAAAAAAAAAAAAAAACCTGTTTATCTAATAAAGAAATTCAGCAAAGTTGCAAGATACAAAATCACCATGTAAAAATTAGTTGTATTTCTATAGGATAACAATGAACATTCCAAAAGCAAATTAAGAAAATATTTTATTTATTAGAGTTTCAAAAAGAATAAAATACCTAGAAATAAACTTAACCAGGACTTCTACCTTGAAAACTACAACACATTGTCAAAAGAAAGTTCAGAAGACCTAAATAAATGGAAAGCCACCCCATTTTTATGTACTGGAAGACCTAATATTGTTAAGATGACATTTCTACCCCAAATGATCTACAGATGCAATGAAATCCCTTTTAAAATTCCAGGGACATTTTTTGCAGGTAAAGGAAATCAATCCTAAAATTCACAGGATCACAAGGGACCCCCAAATAGCCAATCTTGAAAAACAATCTTGAAGAAGGAAAACAAAGCTAGAGGACTCTCACTTACTGAATTCAAAATTTGCTACAAAGCTTCAATAGTCAAAACAGTGTAGTATGACAATGTAGTATGGCTATAAAGAAAGACATATAGACCAACGGAATGGAATAGAAAGCCCAGAAATAAATACTTGCATGATTTCTGAAAAGAGTCCCAAGACTATTCAATGGGGAAAAGATAATCTTTTCAATAAATGATTTTGAGAAAACTGGATATTCATGCAAAAGAATGAAGTTGAATCTTTACCTCACACCATGTGCAAAAGTTAATTCAAAATTAATCAAAGACCTAAATGAAAGAACTTAAGCTAGGAAACTTTTAGAAGCAAATATAGGGTGAGAGCTTCGTGCTGTTGGATTTGTCAATAATTTCTCAGCTATGACACCAAAAACATAGGCAAAAAAGAAAAATTAGATAATTGGACTTCATGAAAATTGAAATCTTTTGTGCACCAAAGAACATCAAGAAGGTGAAAATACCACCTACAAAATGGGAGAAATACTTGCAAATCATATATCTCATAAGAAATTAATATCCAGAATATATTCAGAATGACTACAACTCAACAGCAAAACTAAACAACCCAATTAAAAAATGGGCAAAGGACTTGAGTAGACNCTGCCAGCTCTGAGAAGCCCCTCCCACAACATGGATCTTCTAAAGGCTGAGAGAACTCCCTCTACGCATTCCAGTTAGGACCCAAGGTCAGCCATGACAAACCAGACAAGCAAGGCGAGGAGAGAGCCTGCAGAGATGGGAGGGCTGAGGGGGAGAATTAGGGTTTGGTTTGTACCAAAGGGACACAGGCTGAGAAAGAAATTTTTTTTTCTGGATTTTGTTTGCAAACTAGGTAGACTGTATCCCAGAGCTTGGTGCTGATGCTGCAGGGATCCACTTACCAGAGACTGTGATCGTCTTGACTGTGGTCCTGTTGAGGCCTGTGGCAGAGTTATAGGCAAGGCAGGTATAGGATCCACTATCACTCACAGTGATGTGGGGGATAAAGAGCTCTTGTGTGGATTGCTGGGGTCTCCCATTGATAAGCCACGAATACTGTGCAGATGGGTTCGAGGCCGCGTAGCAGAAGAGTCTGAGGTTTGCTCCTGGATGGTAAGATGAGTGTGGAGGGGAAATGATGGGGTCATCTGGGCCATCTGGAGCAAAGAGAATAAAGACACACATGATGTCATCAGGGGTAAAGGGACACTCCTGGTCTTTAGAAGGGCTATAGTATCACTTCAAGCTGTGTCCCAACCTTGTTTTAAAAAGTCCCAACCATAATCCCCCATGTTCACTG